AAGTGTGATATAATTTGAAGGAAGATTGATCCCTTATATTACCTTATGTCATCAAATGGAATAAAAATATATTTACTCTACTTGAGCATGTGAAAGTAAACAATAATATTTGATTTTTTTCACAGTATCTCTAATGGGTTTTGCTATATAATTTTTATCTTCCTTTTTTCCTATATTTTTAAATTGTTTTTCTCTCTTTTTTTGTTGACTTTTTTTATCCATCGCCCTTTTACCATTTTGTTCATGAAATATTATTTTGTTGAGAGTTAAATTCTCAAAGAAAATGATGTTGGAAGTAAAAAATTTTATCTTTCAATAAATTCACTTTGAAGTTGAATTTTAAAATTTTAAAAATCAATAAAATTATGTTTCACCTTTTCACTTTAAGTTATTTATAATTCAAAAAACAACTTTTATTTGTGCTCACAAAGAAAATTTAAACGATTAATAACTTTGAAATAATTATTCTTTATAAAATTCACAATTTTCACACTAAACAACGCATTAATCCTTGTCTTTTCTTTACCTTCATTTTTCACATCCTTCTTTTTACCGTTACTTCTCTGCTCCTTTTCAAAATAAATAAGTAACTGCACAAAATAATATATTTTATTGATTACAACATTACAAATTAATAATTTTATCATATGGCTATTTTGTGGGTGTCTGTTCATCTACTATTTTGTCAATGAGTATTACTGTATCTTATCCTTTATATAATTATTTATTTTTTAAAAAAAATGTTATATGACAATTGTTTGTAGCTTAAAAAGAGAAAAATGTTAATACTTGAAATTAATTTATACTTCACCAAGAAAGTAATTATTTGGTAACACTAAATTAGTAGCATCCGAAGAGAAATCGGTAAAAGATATCGTAATTAATAATATATGACGGATAATTAACTAAAATTTGAATGATTTTCAGTAGAGTCTTTTTCTTCTTTGCATGTGTTGTAAAATCAAACTTTGTCATCTTTAATTTTTCACCTCTCAAGAAAAGTTTTGAATCCTTTTACATGTGATAGTTGTCAATACTTTAACAATTTTAAAGTTTTTTGATAATCAATAAAAAAACCTTCAATCAACTTGATTTGAACCTGCTAACTTAATTTCTTTTGACCATATGATTCATCGAATTATAATCATAAGTAATTTGAGAATTTAAAATGTTTTAAAAAGAATGTGTAAAAAAACTAATATTCATGGAACAAGATTCCTTTTTGTCAACAAAAAAAATGTTCAAATTGATTAGTTCGTCATGTTCTTGAAATTAATAACATTCTACATTTTTAAATCCTAACAATTTATCATCAAATTGTCTTTATGTGTAATCTAACTGTAAAAAAAATATGGCATGCTAAATCCAACTGAAAGCAAGGTATATAAATTAAGAAAGCTACATTAGGAAAGCATACACATCTGATTTATGTATAGCACAAAATAATAGACTACGAAAAGACAAAAAATTAATTTAAAATGTATTTACTCATATATTAATATACAAATTCATAGCCATTATAAGTTCTTTTATTTAATAGATTGATTATATATTTAAAATTGAAAAAAAAAGTAAAAATAAAGATTAATTATAATGGCAATATTACAAGAAAGTATGACATCAATTCGTCTATGTTTCACTTTATTTTATATATATAGATTTCAACAGGTCTACACATTTAGTATTACAAAAATATGTAATAAGATATTTTTTAGTCAATAAGAATTATACCCAAATTAATCAATTCACAACTTTTCTTTAAATATATTGCATTTCACGTTGTTCAAATTTTTTTCCTTATCATCAATTCATCCATATCAGTAATGATCAACACTGAAAAAAGAAGAAGAATATGTCATATTAACAATCTATTAGGAGCAAATGAGTAAGCAAGCCACAACATAAAAATGATGAAAACATTCCTTATCATCAAATTATCTATATCAGATCAATACCGTAAAAAAAAAAAAGAATATGCTAGATTAACAATCAAATTAAAAGCAAAATAGAGTAAGCAAGTTACAACATAAAAAGAAAAAAGAAATCCAATCTATATAAGATATTTTTTAGTCAATAAAAATTATATCCAGATTAATCAATTTGCAATTTTTCTTCAAATATATTATTTTTCACGTTCTTCAAATTTTATTCCGTATCATCAAATCATCCATATCAGTAATGATCAACACTGGAAAAAAAAAGAATGTCAGATTAACAATCTAATTAGAAGCAAAATGAGTAAGCAAGCTCCAATATAAAAAGGAAAAAAAAAATCCTTATCATCAAACCATCTATATCAGATTAATACCATAAAAAAAAGTATATGCTAGATTAACAATCTAATTAAAAGCAAAATAGAGTAAGCAAGTTACAACATAAAAAGAAAAAGATCTCAATCTATATATATAGCACAAAAACATAGACTATGGGAAGACACAAAATTAATTAACATATAATAACTCAAAAATTAATACATATTAAAAGTCATTACATGTCCAAATTAAAAATAAGTAACGGTTGATTGAAAAAATGGAAGGGTAGATACATTCCTTTTTAACCATTACACAACTTAATTCGGAAGGAAGGATTAAATGTTTTAAATGTTTTAAATGCTCATAATGAGGGGAATTTTTTTTTTAAAAAAAACGGATTTTTAATAGAAAAAAGAAGAAAAAAGATGAAAATTATGGAAAAATTGATAAATAGTAATATTGGCCATTGAGGCATGCCACATCAGCAAACTGAGATTCAGCTTTATATATATATATATATATATATATATATATATATATATATATATATATATAGATTATTTATGTAAATGGGCCCTTTGTGTATTCACTTTTGCCCATGGATTTTCTTGAAGATTATTTCAAGGAAAATTATATATAATAGCAAACTAATAACCTAAAATAAATGGAGTAGCCAGAGTTTGATTTAATTGTGATCCATAGCAAACATTCGCAAAAAATTGTCAGGCACCTCTCTCCCAAATATCTCACTCGCCACTCTCCTCCAATCTCTAGCTCGCTTCTTCACTTTTTATACAAACACAAGTGTATAAAAATTGTTTCTAATTGTATAAAACAGAGAAAATTGTATAAATACATATATTTTTGTTCCCCTCTCTCCCCTCTTCCAGATCTCGCTCGCCAATCTCCCAAATATAGCTCGCCACTCTCGCCTTTCTCACTTATACAAACAGAAGCGAAATGTATAAATTGTGTTTCTGTTTGTATAAAGCGTGAGAAAATTGTATATACACATACAAATACATATATTTTCATCTTATACACTTATAATTATACAATAAAAATACTCCACTGCCCAGTTTCTTTTGTCTTTCTCTCTTTCTCGTTTTATACAATTTTCAAATTGTATCTAATTTCTCTCTTTCTCGTTTTATACAATTCGATTCAATTGTATATTCCTTGTCAAGTCTCTTTTGTCTTTCTCTCTTTCTCATTTTATACAACTTCAAATTGTATATAATCATCCTATACATCTATAATAATACAATTCGTTTTATACAGCTTTCTGCCTCAGTGTCTTTCTCTTTCTTGTTTTATACACTTTGTTTTATACAATTTGCTTCAACTGTATATGTATAACGAATTATACAATTTCTATGTTTGCTATAGAGCGCAATTACGCAAACTTTGCTATAACATACAAATATGAATTTTTTATTTACTATAGGTGAAAGTTGTCCTTATTTCAAACCTGTATTTTTGAAGATTTTTAAAAATTTTATATAATGCTAATTTTGAGTGGCTAAACTTGTAAAAATTTATAAACATGGACTATGTCCTCAATAGGGATACTAGGAACAGTAAAAATTTATAAACATGGACTATGTCCTCAATAGGGATACTAGGAACAGATCTTTGAATTTCTTAACTTTTCAAAAGTAAACAATGAAGCTATCAAAAGCTCCTTCTTATCTATTTTTTTTTAATCATAATGTTCCAAGTTAATAATTGTATTGTCTTTATCCAAAAGCTTAGTTCCAGGAGGTCAAAGTTAGATTTGCATATATTACTTGGACAATATGTACGTTCATGAAGGCAAGTTCTTGTCAAAGACGTTAGTCATTTGATATGAGCAATAATGTGAGTTGTCATGTTTGGAATAACTTATCCCACCATTTATATAATAGTGATAAGATAAGTTATCGCATACACATTTTGGGATAAATTATCTCAGAATAGCTAACCTCATATAACTAATTCTGAAATACTTGTTCCCAACCAAACGACGTCATGCCATTATCCAGACCTTCTGAGATGCTGGTAAAACCTGGGAGATAATATAAGGCATAAAAAGTTTCAATCAGTAATTATCTCCGATTTCACCGTCCCAGAATTAAAAAGCACACTGTAAAAAAAAAAACACTTCAATTGTGACTTGAATAGACATCATTTAAAACACAATAGCTTTACATACATGATAAGACCTTATCAAGAAAAAAATCTGTACATGACTAGATTACAAGGGACCCTTATGAATGTTGCCATATGCCTAATTTTGTACATGACTTGATCATAAGAAGACCCTATCCTATTAATTTACCTCTAAATTTGAGCTTTACATACCGCTCCATCTACAATAATTTCTTTTCTGACTCGATAAAATGGGGGGTTTACTCTAATACGGTATCCAGAAGAAAGCCACTCGGAACTGGGAGAACAATTCAAGTAACACTCTTCAAAACTGCATCAAATGATAGCATACCACACAAATGAATAACACCAATGAAGTACACGGTAGGAGGTTTGGTTGCAGCAATAACGTATTCAGGGCCGGAACATCCTCATAACCTTGGAGACTTGAAGCCGACAGAATGGGCACCTTGAAACTGCAGATGAGCATCTACGGCAAAGCACATGACCACAAGGGACTATAGTAACATCAACTTCAGTGTTGAGACAGATGCGGCACAGCCATGCTGCTTTAGCTGTGTCAGCTTCTTTCGTAGCCATTTCAGACTTTTCCTGCAAATTCACAAGATTCACCAAGTTCTTATTCTAATAATTTGGCTGTGTACTCGGCATAAAATTATATTGCAACTTTGAGAGATTGATCAAGATCATATGGTGGCATTCAAAAGGGGACCAAGAAATTACATTCTGTAAAATAATGCAACCATTGAAAAGACGGGCGGGGATTTTAGAATTATATTGCGACACAGTTCATTTCTATTTCACGAATGAAGATACAATTGGTAGCGAATCGTCGATTTATAATTAGTTTCAGACAAAAAACAGCTGCTTATATTCAATTTTGAGAACCAAACTTGCACTGATAATAGCAAGATAGCGGGCAATGCCAATGGAGATACGAAGGGTAATGAAAAGGAGATGGACTCAGAAAGGGAATGAGGGTAGAGAGAATTTTGCAACATTAATATGCATGCCCCATTCTTGCTAACCCTATTACTTTTTTTTACCAAATCCCTGATTGCACCCCTATCTTTAACAAGCCTACTGACCGGGATCCCAGATATAATCTGTTAACCTTTGTGAAGACCTGGCCCTATTGTTTCTTCTCAGCCCAAACGCTATTTATGTGATATCCACATCTAACTAGAGTTGATTCATGGCAATAACCCATCCGCAACAAGAACCTCATCATCAGGGTTCGAGTAAGGATAAATTGATATCATAGTAGTGATTCTTTTTTTTTTTTTGATGACAAGGGAATCCACAACCTCTACCCTTTACGTGCGCACAGGGTAAAACCCCCGCTCCTATGCAATAGCTCGCAAACCACATAGGAGAGGTAAACCACACTAAGCAAGCTCGGTGCGACGAGCTCGACCCAGAAGGCAAAACCCCTTGCTTCCGCTAGCAAGGGGTTTCGGGCTTGAGACCTCCAACATGGAAGTCCCAAGCACAAACCACTGGGCCACCCCGAAGGGTCAGTGATTCTATTTTGACTTGAATGTGGATCAGGCACTACCTCTCAATAAGATATAGGTCTACAGAACCGCTAGTAAACAAACCCATGAGAACAATATAGTTAAGATGCAAGGCTCAATGGCTCGAATTCTTCTTTGACTTTGTACAATAGAACATTAGGGGATAACTCTTCTACAGATCCAACCAACTTTACTTATCTCTGCCCAAGTAAGTGAGTTGGTTTAGTTCTTTATAGTTGTACTTTAGTTATTTGACTTATCTATACTTATTAACCTTTAAATTTATTTTTCTATAATTGAATGGTGGTCGATATTTGGTAGTCAAACTCCAACCTTGCAAAAGTTTGCCAGGAAAGTATCAAGTGTAAATTGCAGCTCATTTGGATGTGAGTGAAATTGGAGTGTGTTTGAACATGTAAGAAGATTTTATATCCTAATTTCTATATTATATTATTATTAGTATCTATTGATTAATTTCTAAAAATTATGTGCAGATTCATTCAAAAGAGAAGTAGCCTAGCGTTATCACATCTCAATAATCTAGTGTACATCAAGTACAATAGAACACTGAAACGTCATTATGATGCTTGTGATACCATTGATGCAATTGCCTTGGATAATATTGATGAGGCAAATGAATGGTCTATCGTCTTAGGGGACGTTCTTGAAGTTCAAGGTCGCTTAACTAGGGCAAGGAGTACATACTACTACATTTACAAGTTCAAGTCAGACTCAGACCCTAACTTATCAAGAATCTGCCGAGGAAGAAGATGAGGAGCAATATATAACTGAATCTTGCACTTCAAAAATTTGAAAATCTTGAAGAAGAATAGACTTCTAGAGTTCTAATATTGCTTGTCAATTGTCTTATGAATTATCAAATCATTCAATCTCTAGATTTTAGCATCTACCATTATTTTTTGAATTGAAATATTTGTTAATGTGTTATTACTACTGAGATTTTGGTTATTTATGCATGCAATTAAATACTTGAGGTTTTTGGTATTAATTAGCGCCTCAATTCAAAAAGCCACTCGCCTCACCGCAAGGCAGACCAAGGTTGCCTTTCACCATCCAAAACACCGCAATATGCATAGGAGTTTGAATGCACTTCTCAAGGGACAACATTATTTCCAATATTCAGCTTTTAAGCTGGTGATTGCATTTAATTGCTCCAAATACGCAGACTCAATATCTGATGCCAGAAGGCGCGAACAAACATATTCTACCTTTCACCAAACAGTTGTTCCATTCTACTGTCCAATTATTCCCAGACATGCAGTAACAGTTTCAGTTTGAATGAAATGAATTTTAAGGTTCGGGAAAATATGCAACCATGACAGTCCGTTGCCCAGGGACATGTGTGCATTATAAACCAAGACGAATTGGGGAGGGACAGAATGATCATGTTGTAGTAGGAAACAACGCTGTGAGAACTACAAATGGCAAATGTGCCGTTAAACAAGGAAAGATACCTGCTCGAGTAAGAGTGCCGCTTGAGAATCCTTGAATTGCTCTTGCAATGTGATTGTTGTTTCCAGTAATGATTGCTTTTCCACGTCCATACTGATTCCTGCTGCAGAAAGCATCTCCTGAACTGCCTGGACCAATTCTGTAGCAGACACTCGACCATGTTGGAGTGCTTGAAGCTGCTGCTGGTGGTTCCCCTATTAGAAGCATCATTTAACTCTTTAAGTAACAAACATTAGATCAATTTTCACAATAAGTAAACCTAGAACCAACGTTTTGTTAAAATTCCAGTCGATTACTATATGAGAAGGGAGGGCTTTTTAGCAAACATCCATTTATCACACGGAGAGTAGATAAGATAACTACATGTATAGATGGTTTGCTTGGATGTAGTGATAGGAATACAGGTCTTTAAAAATCAATTACAATTGGGTACTCATTAAATATTTCTGCAATGAAAGTGAAAATGTTGAAACACAATTCAATTATTGGGAAAAGTGACTAGAATTTTTCCAACTCTACTACTATAAGAAAAAGACGGAGTTCAAAAGGTTTTTGCTCAAAGCACTAAAGAATGCACACTACTATAAATGTAAACCATTTGATTCTAAATAGGAAATTTAGCATGGGTATGTACCTCAGAAGGTCTTGACTGAACTCTTGCAGTAACACCCTCACTCCTACTACTGTCCATCGTACAATAACCCTCAGGAAAATCAGCTGACGAGTCCTCACCAGAGATGGTGACACTTTTGAACGAGAAGACATGAGAAGATAGAAGAAGCTCAACCAATCCCAGTGATATTTCTACTTTGAATCTGTAGAGGGCTTGGCCAGCTGATGGTCTCACATTCTCCGAAATCCTACCATACTTCAACTTTTCTCCATTCTGATGCCGCCAAGCTACTATTTCTCCAGCATAAAATGGTCTTAATGGGTGAAATTGTACTTGTAAAGCATCTTGGGGTAGTATATCCATGCCAAGAAGACCATCTTTGTCACTTCTGAATCCATTAGCTTGCATATGAGAACTAAGTTTCAAGATATCGACAAGGGCAGTCTCAGAGCCCTCGGGACAAAGGAATAGAGAGCCTATTGGCAATGGGACGGGGAAGTCTAACACCCTGCTCACAGCAGTCGCTATCACATCAGCAATAGAGACATAGTCTGGTGGTTCAGCGATCAACACAGAAGATTTAGACGGTTCAACAAAGTAAAGAGCCCGGTGACGTGATGTATCCTTCCACTCTGGGAACATCGATTCCGGTCTAACTCGAGTGATATCCAAAGATTTTGGAAGGAGCACAAAGTGTGTATGTAGACATTGAACAAATCTCAACTTCTCCGCAACCAATTTCAATGAGCTTTGTATATCCTCTAAGGTAGCATGATCAATGTCAGCGACGTTGCTTTGCATGCTAGTGACAACAGTCCACACTGCAGCTTGAAAGGATCTGCTCAACAACTTGTGTCTTATAGCTTCAATCTGAACTGATCCAATGCATTCCAAAGATTGCAAATGTTCTTCACAACATAGTTCCTGGAAAGATAGCCCATTAATATCATATAAGAGACTCATGTAGCCATACAGAAAAACATGTTAGTATGCTAATCATTCAGGGAAGAAAAGGGGGGTAAACAATTTCAAATACATATAACAAACATGACGTCTGCAGCTGCACGAACATGATCAAAATCTTATATAAACTAGAAATACATAAAAGTAACCAGATCATTTTGGGTACCTCTATAACCACATCTGAAATCTTTTTGATTCCAAAGGCAATACATAACTTCTCTGGGAGATCTTGGTGGACGAACCTCAGCTTGGAAATCTCAATAAACTTAATATAGCTAGAACCATAAGAATCTATGTACACGCATGACTTAGCATGTACAAGTCTGCAATCATTATCAGGGACAATTGCTTCAGAATGCCAACTGCTCATGTCCGACGTGTTTGCCTGATCACAGATGAAATGCACAATTCCCATCACAGCACGGAATTCATTTGGATTTAAACGCTGATATCGACATGCTTTTTGAAGATTCAAAAGGAGAGTCTTTGCAGATGAGATGGACAGTGAGTCCTGGAGGCCCAACTCTCTAAGTATATTGACATAAGGCAGGTAGAGTGAAGGGAGTTCAAAAACAAATGGGGAAAGATTAATTGTCAGACGTGTGAAAAGGCAGCTTGCTGTCACCAAACGTGTACCATTTGCGGCAGGCATGAAGGCCACTTGGCACAATGCCTCCTTGTCTGCCAAGAAAAAGAAAAGATGCAGAAATTTTTTTATCAGCGGACAAACAAAACCCGAAATGCACATAACACACTATCGTCTTCAAATCAAATCAATATCAAAGTGACTGAAGGAAGTCTTTCAGGATAAAAAGAAAGCAAAAGTTCCGATCTGAAATAGTAGCTATTCTTACTGCATCCACCAAGATTTCTACCATGGAAAATACCTTGTGCCTAAGCCAACTCCTTATAACAGATGTGTTAGAATATAAATAAGTATTTATAACTATTTCCTACTTAAAATAGGAATAGGAATAAGAATAGAAATAGGAATAGGAATAGGAATCCTAGTCGGAAAAGGGTTCCAATGTAGTGTCTAAAAATAGGGTCTCAATGTAACAATTAAGATACACAATTCAATAATATTCTTCCCATATATTTCTCACATGGTATCAGAGCATTGGTGAGAATTTCAAGTCACCGGTGTCAAATTTCGGTGAAGACAGTGGGATTGATTTGTGTCATCTTTCATTCTGAAGGTGTTGTGCAAAAGAAAACACCGTCACGAGGCTCGAGAAGCTTAGGTGACCAAACCCCAGCCAGACCCACCGGAAAATACCCTCCCACGCGCCCCCACGCGCCGATCGGAGGTGAGAATTTTCAGGTGAGATCTGCTCACGCGCCGGTGCGCAAGTGCTGCTCCGGCCATTTTTTTTGAGCTATTTTTTCCGTTGGATCACCCAGTATTTTCGACCAGAACCTGGGCAGTTTTATCCAGATCCGATCATCGGAGTTGGAGTTAGGGCTCCGGTGATTTGCTAGATGGCAAGCCTTACTCTCTAGTTTCGATTTTCAAATTGAATATCTCAAGGGAGAAGTCAATTCTCTCCCCAACTTTCTAACCCGTGAATTTTTGCATGGTAAAAATGAGTCGGCAACAGGTTAGGCCCTTGGCAGGCGGAAAAGCAATTAGGCCCACTTCTAATGGATCAAGCAAAGCAGCAGGCCCATTTGAAATAAGGCCTGAATTGAACCAGAACAGATATTCAACATTGCCCAATGGCCTCCAATTGTTCCCTCTACACTACCATCAAGTAGTTCTTCAAACATGCTGATTTTGAAAAAGCCTTTTCAAAAGGAGCAGGAGCAGCCCAGTTCAACATCCCCATCGGGAAAACTTAGATTTTCCCAAATTCAAACTAGTGACAGTTATGCAATGAAGCAGCCAGAAAGCTTCGTAGAGGCAATATCTCCGAATACTGTTAAAACTACTGCAAAAGAAAAAGAGAAATTTGACGTTGTTTCTTTGCAGGTTTTCCCCATGCTTGCTTTAGACAAGAATATGAAAGCTATGAGGTTAAACACCTCCTGGAACCCCTTTACTCAAACAAGAATTACATAGAAACGGATAATTCCTTAAAAACCAGGAGATTTTTTGAGTTTATTCTCGTAGATACAGGGTCTACCGAGATTGAACATGAACTCGCTGATAAGTCAGATCCGAAAAGCATTGCCTATTCCAAATTTACTATTAAAAAGATTTTATCTCCATTTGAGTGGCAAGTCGACCACTTACAAACTCCTATCAACTTTTCAAAACGTTTTAATCCACAAATGTATAATTGGTATGAGTACAAAAATGCTTGGACTAACTTCTTATATGTTAGGCCAACCACAAATACTTGATTTGTGAAGTATTGTCCGGAAGTAGCAACTTCCATTATCCCAAGATGGTTCTACGAATGGTGGAGCTATTTTGGTGGAACTGAACAAGTTATGCCTAAGCAATTTGCAAATAAATATCCTCAATTTCAAATTAACGAAGGCATATCCACTCTCCCAGAGAATATTAAGCTCTGTAAATATTTTATTAAGAAACGTCTTTCTTATATTATTAGCTGGACATTTGTTATTGCAGATTTTGACTGGATCAAATTTCTTTCAAAAGAAATCCGATTCATATGCTGGTCTCAGCTAAAAAGGAAGGCAACCCTTATACTTGTATGTGTTTGTATTGTGAACCCCTCTACTTATCCTTTTGTCATCTAGACCCCTCAACTCAATAAAACACAATTTAATAAACCCTCTAACCATTGACCAAGCTTATGTGGCATTTGAATGTCTGAGTTGGCAAAAGTGTGTAACCACACGCATATTAAGGCGAGTGAGGGAGCATTTTTACTTAAATAAGTACTAAAAATTATAAAATAAATAATTTTTTATTTATTTTTGACCAATGATTAAAAATCTCCTTCTTCACCCATTACACCTCC